CCACATCACTAATTTGCGCATCGCGTAGCTAGGCCCGGACCGCAATCCGGACATGGGATTTGGACCGGTCCGGATATTCCGGAATATTCCGGGTTTCCGGAAGTCCGGAAGGGCCCGGGAGGTCCGGGGTCCGGATTCGGTCCGGCGTAGCTATGTCATGCAGTAGTAAATGGAAGATTAGCAGCACTAACACTGGTCGGGGGGAGTTAAGCAAAAAAAAAAAAAAGAAGAAGAAGATTGCTTTGCAAGAGGTCATGCAGTGGAGACGCGTCGACAGCTATGCGACAGGACAAAACAGTTTTGGTTATGACTACTTATTAGAGGAACAACAAGAGGAAAGAGACCGAAGCCAAGCAAACCAACCGGAAAAAAAAACGGAAAAAAAAAAAGAACCAAAATAAACGAAAACAAACCCGACACAGTTTCAGTGAGATAAAAGCAAAAAAAAATGCAATTGCCGGACGGAGTAATAAAAACTCGTACCAACTCGCCAGCTCAATTGGTTGGTACTACGCCCTTGAACTGTGAAAAAACACAGACCCAAGTTCGAATCCAGATGCAAACATGTGACTCTGAATAATTTTACCAGGGGTCGGTCAATTCAGAGATGGCATCTCAAGCCCGTCGCCCTTTCAAGAAAAACAAAAAAAGGAAAAAACGAAAGAAAGAAAGGAAAAAAAAACTAGTCAGAAAACCAATAGAAAAAATGCTCCTTGGTATGAGAGAACCTTGCTGATTGTACGAAAAGGCAAATGGACTGAAAATTTCCTTTGATGAACAGTTTGTCCAGCAGTCAATTGGAATAGCTTCAATGTGTCAGATGCGCATGAAACGAGCATTCGATGGTCATATGTGTTCAACCAGCAATTAAACGGAACAGTTCGACCTGTGCCTCCAACGCTAGTGTGGACGCATATGACAGAAGGCGCGATGTACATGCACTGCCTGACTGGAAAAAAAAAAAAAAACAGTACTGAATAGTGAATACCAATAACTTGAAATCCAAAGGGGTTTATTCACACAATCCTTGGAAGTTGTTTATTCAACAGGGTGCAGTCTCTTGTTGACTATTTGAGATAAGCAGCAATAACGGGTGTGGTGGGTGGACTGGATCGGTCATTCAGGCTATCACTTTCTTCTTTTGTTTTTTTTAAAGGGCGTAGCCCCGAACATTATTATAACTCATCTGATTCCATTGGGATTCGAACTCATGCACTGTTTACTAACAGTTACGTGCATGTCAAGTTCAGGCTAGCGCTAATGACCGAAATCGCCAATTTTCTTGGCTACCGAAATCAACGGTTGAAGCATGAGGAAGACAACCTACCTCATGAGTGGTTGGAGAAGGCACCGATCCCCGACTTCGCAAAAAACACAGAACACCTGAACATAGACGAGTGTGGGCACTTAGGCATCCATCAGACATAGACAAATGAATGATCGACAGATCAGTCCCAAGTGCATGGTAAGTTGAACAAAGAGGGAGAGGGAGATGGGAGATGGGAGCAAGCAGCCCCGCTGGACGCACACATTCGGATGAGATGATGAGAAACCTCATAAGGAATGCGACTGGGAGGCCAAACAGACCGAGCACAGACACAAGCCGCGAGCGACTGAGGTGAGAGGGCACAAGATGAACCCGCAGAGTTGACCCGAGAGGGGGGGGAAAAAAAAATTTGAAAGTGGGAAAGGCAGTAGTAGTGGCTCGTAGAAATTGTTTCCGCGCATTTTCTCCACCTCCGATCTCTTTCAATACACTCTTTCAGAGGAGGAATGACCGACCGCTTCAACTTCAGTCCTTCATTCTTCCATCCACTCCGTAATCCATGGAAATAACGAAGCATCAGTCTGACGACGAATTCCTCAATCAACACGATCTGCTGGGCACTCTGAGATGCAAGATTGTGTGCTCGCAAGCTCTGCTATGCTGTGTGTGTGTGCTCTTGCATAACCCAATAGAGACGCCAGGTTGTGATCGCCGTTTACAGCTTGCTTTCAAAACACCTTCATCATCCACACATCCTACTCTGCTGCTTCTTAGCCATCATCGTCACCCTCATCGTCGACATACCCCAACATGCTACGCCATCATCATTATCACCATCATGATCATGAGCTGCCATTATCACAACCATCATCATCATCCTCACCATCGCAATCATCAACATACCCTGCTGCCACACAAACATCATCACCATAGCCACCATGACCACCACCAAGACCGTCATCGTCATGCTCATCATTATGAACATGATCCGCTGCTGCCCAAAGAGGACCAGCCAAACAGGCCGGTCCATCTTCTCACTCGGTACAATGCTCCCCAAAACCACCTACCATCTTTGATACCCACCTTTAGGCTGAAGTTAGGCAACAAACTCGACTTACCGAAGGATAAATGAGAACCGCATTATTATTTCACAAGCTGCGCCTCCTGCCTCCCCTCCCGCCTCCTCCCCCGCCTCCTCAAATTAGAGAACTTCCGAGACTTGTCTGTTTGTGTGGCCCGCCGCTTCTCTGCCGCTGCGTGCACAACAGGAAGATGCGCCCCCCGGTCTTTTTTCCTCCGCAATCCAGCAGAGCCACAGTTCCACGCACCTTTTGTTTCTCAACGCAGCAAAGTCTGTGTGGAAAGCCTCTGCGATTCTTCGCAGCCTCCTCGTTCTCTGCCTTTGAAATGTTCTTTGCCTCTTCTGCAGGCGGGAGGGAACAGGAGGAGGAGGTTCCCCCCAGTCCTGCAGCCCTAAGGGGCTTGGCTGCGAGGACTGCAGGACAGAGCTCCAGGAGGAAAGACAGACTTTGGCAGGGCAGAGAGCTTCCTTGAGGGCAGATGTGAAGTGAACAGCAGAAGCCTCCACCTGCAGCTATGGTGCTGTTGCGTCATAGCCCTGACAGACTCTAAACACTCCAATTTCTTCAGAAGCGCCCAAACAAACGAATTGCGGGTAGGAAAAGCTGAAACTAGCCCATGAAAAATAGCCTTCCAAGAAAAACGCCAGACAGACATTGATTCGATGCGACTCGGTCCTATAAACGGAAAAATAGCACGCCGACAACTCCTGCCCAATTTTGAACTGAAAAATAATGGAAATTCCACAGAGATCGATAGCCGGACAGCCTTACTGGCGCCAACGCCGAAAGGACACATTTGGAGAGGCCAATAAAACGTCAACAAGCCTTATCGCCTACCGCTGTGCGCGGCACATGAGCATCATGCCCAACGCCAGAGAATCCTGCACAACATACACATTTTCAATTTTTCACAGCGGAGCGGACTCAATTATTTCTGTCTTCTCTTTTCGATGATCGCAGCAGCATACATAAGCGGATACAATCGGCAACCAACATCCAACCATTACTTCGTATGAACAAGATATACAACGACATAGCAAAGCATTTGTCGGGATAACAAACCCTCACACATCACCTTCTATATTACCAAAATGGCCTCATCGGGGGGACCGCCCGCCTGCTTCCACCTCTTTTCATGATCCCCACACACATCGGCTATCTCCCGACATTGCCATGACAACCAGCTACAAAAACCTGAAATGTTGGACAATCCAAGAAGGAATAACAACTACGAAAAGCTGACAACTCCCAGTCGAACCTCAAGTCTACAAAAAATTATCGAAAGTTTTCGTGAAAAACTTCAAAAAAGTTCAAAAAGTTGAAAAAACTACTTCTGAGGAAGAAAACCCTCGACAAAAAATCCTTCGTATGAGTCAAAACTTCAAAAGACTCAAAACAGTCCAAACCGTACAGGAAGCCTCGTCCATGCCATCACGGGCTGTACATATGGTGGAGCCAAATAATTCGGACCATGATTTTCGTCTGCGCCTGGTCCAGGACCAGAAGACTGCGGAAGTCCTGACCTAATCTCAATCTGCCCTCTGGGTCGTAGTAAGGTCTTCTCGTTCTTCATGCCTTGTACAGACCACAGGAAAGGGTTGAAAGGGTTCGCCCGCCGTACGCCCATGTGGCGATTGTTTGAGGAAATCCCGTGAACCCGAACCGTTGTCGGTCTGCTTACGGGTAAAAAAAAACACAAAAAACAAAACCTGAAACAAGCCGTAGATGTAGTTACATACATTCCTCCACGTACTGAAGTGAGCACACCTTGTGCACCGCAGTACCCTCGTTATATAGTCGCTTCCTTTTTCTTTCTTTTTTTTGTTTCGCAAACAGGTCCCCATAGGGCCCAAATAATTTCCTTTTGGCTGAGCTTCGTCCAGACCCCTGAAATATGCGGTGCAGTGCCTATTCCCGTTTTTCCCAACAGTGAGAAAGGTAGAGGTGGTTTAATGGATTTCAAGCGCCGACTCGTCCGATTAACTGATTTCAGGTTGAAATGTCCGATTAACTGATTTCAGGTATAAACCGAAGAGCTGGCCCTTCGACCCCCCCTGCGAATTACCTGGTTCCCTGAAAGGTAAGACACATGGGCCTGTATTTCCCTGTGTCCTTCTGCTTTGGCAACAGATATGCATTGCCTAGCTCACCATTCTTCTTCCAGCGACCAAGCTTCTCGAATCCTTAAGAGCGGCAAGTCTCATGCATTCTCATCGGAAGCGCAACTTCATCATGCTGAATAACGTAGTGGCCCCCTCGTTCACAATAAATGTACTCGCCATCGCTTCTTCACCACGCTGACACTGGACCGGACACCTAAATGGACATCTGGATCCAGACGGTCTGCACTGGGATCTGGACGTACGGATTGCAGCCATGGTTAATGTGAACCATACTTGCAAGTCCACACCGTGCATGCGTCTCTATACAATGTATACAAATACTATGCGTGCACGCAACCCCTGTGCTGCACAAAGCCCATGAGCAACTTCTGGCTGAGACACTACCTCAAAATCGTATTCTCAGAATACTGGTGAATATTAAGAGAATGGAAAACAAATTTTCATTTTTTCAGTGCTGGGCCGGCAACCGGCCAGTTGAGCTACCCCGGTCCAACCGGAGCCGGACCAGCCCGGGGGGGGTGAACCGGGAAACCGGTTTTGAAAAAAAAGTGCCCAAAAATCCGGTTTTTTTTCTTCTTTTTTGGCAGATTCCGACTGAGCTCTTCAAGAGCTGTTGGAATCCGCAATAAAATTTTGAAGGTACAATATTTTTCAGGGGGCTTCCAGAGGGGGGCAGGGGGTTACTATTGACATATTCAGGCAACTATGGCTTCCAGGGGGCTTCCCTGTGGCTGGAGCACTTCATGGAGTAGGTCACGTGATAATCATACCCCACGAGCTGAATCAGATATGATGAAAGGAGGTCCTTCCCAGAACTTAGCTCTTCCAGAGTATAGCTCGACAGCGGAAGAGTTATGGGTCCAGCTTTCACCTCGTGGGGGCAGAGCGTTTTCTGTTTGTTCTTTTCTACATAAGGTGAGTTATCAGTACGGAAGTATCTTGCCTGGCAGTCTGTCCAGATACATGTAGTGGAGCAAGGTCCATTCGAGATAGATAGAGAGAAGAATATAGCTTAGGTCCATTATTGGGCTTGCACCTCGGACGGCTCAGACATCACGATTCCGAAATCAGAACCCATAACGCTTTCGACAGATGGCAGGGACGTCGCAGGGACGTCACAGGGGCATATAATCTCAGCAGAGCCTCATCATGAGCATAGTGTTACTCTCGTGGCTGAGGGTGAACAAGTATTAGAGTTACTGATCATTTGGACCACGAGATGACAAATTGGAGAGGGGGCCTACCCAACCCACATCTTCTTTTTTTTTTTTTTTTTTTTTTTTTTTTTCGCCCCACATCTTAAGAGAAATGTGTGGTGGTTCTCTGCTGCGGATCTACAAAGATCGGCCATGGATATCCTCCGCCCGTTTTTCTTAAGAAATGAGATCCAGGATGCCCCAATTTTGTACGCGGCAGAGGATGGGGAAAGAACCGTCAGAATTGTTTTTTTCAAAGAGATAGGGGCCTCCTTGGGGCTGGGCAATCATGGGGATGCCCGTGACTCCCCAGTACCCCCCTAGTAACATGCGCCGGAATCAACCGGGAGTCTGCTGGCCCGGTCCACTGCCCAGTCCGGCCGGCAGGCTCCCGGTCGGGGGTGGGGCCCCCGGTTCAACCAGGGACCAGTCCTGCAATTTTTTATTTATTATTTTTTTTTTGTCTGCTGCACCTAGTCTTTCCGCATGACTGTGCAATGCCATGCACGTGTGCAGATGCAAGTATGTCCTTTTTCTTTCCTTTTAATGCGCAGGGGCCATGCTAATCTTCTTTGCCGGCAGGCTCCCGTTCGGGGGTGGGGCCCCCGGTTCAACCAGGGACCAGTCCTGCATTCTTTTATTTATTATTATTTTTTTGTCTGCTGCACCTAGTCTTTCCGCATGACTGTGCAATGCCATGCACGTGTGCGGATGCAAGTATGTCCTTTTTCTTTCCTTTTAATGCGCAGGGGCCATGCTAATCTTCTTTGTATCGTTCCAATTTTAACAGATGTCCCAAAGGACAGTATTATGTTTTTCAGACTTTTTCTTGAATTTTTCTGATTTAAGAAAACAACACCCAGTTCCTTTCTGCGAGCAACATCACAAGCACCAGCCAGAGATCAATCAGCCTGAAAAGGTAATTATATGTCAGGCAAAGGAAGGAAAATTACCGGAAAAGGAAATATCACCTGAAAGAATGACCAGAGCCAAGCAGTCAGCCAAAGTACATTGATAGAACATACTTTGTGGGATTAAAACCCCAAAGGAAAGCTGCAAGGAGACAGCAAAAGGACAAACAAACAGTTACGCATTACAACTTAGCAAAAGACTGAAAAAAATGAACACTGGTTCAACAAATGTAGCAAGCATAAAGGTCAGATGCGTTCAGAAAGGCGCAAGTACGAATACCTCCTGAGCAGCTAGCTACACTGTGCAGGAGAACTGTGTCCGTACGAGTGCCTTCCCCTTCATCATTACTGGGGTAAAGACGGGACACATTCACAAAAATAACCGTCAGCATGCTGTCTGAAACATTAGCAGCAATATGAAAAGAAGAAATAAAAGAAAGAACGAAAAAAAAAAACAGGAGCAAACACCTAGATGAGACTTGGTCAGCACACTTCTCATCCTTAGTTTCTTTCATAGTGCTTTGCAACTCTCAGAATTGTGAATAATGCTTTACTCCAATCTCAAACCACAATGCATCCAGAAACCCTCCTAACTGAAATCAGCATTTCTCTCTCTCTCTCTCTCTCTCTCTCTCTCTCTCTCTCTCTCTCTCTCTCTCTCTCTCTCTCTCTCTCTCTCTCTCTCTCTCTCTCTCTCTCTCTCTCTCTCTCTCTCTCTCTCTCTCTCTCTCTCTCTACCCCCCCCCTCTCTCTCTCTCTCTCTCTCTCTCTCTCTCTCTCTCTCTCTCTCTCTCTCTCTCTGTGTCTCTGTCTCTCTCTGTCTCTCTCTGTAGGTGGGGCACATATGTATGCACTTGCTACCTCTCTATATATTGTCACCCAGTCTGTGCTTGGGACGTACCCCATTCAGGGTCGCTCGTACAATGTGGGCTGCGTTGTACTATGCGGGCTGGGTGATATTATGTGGACTGCATGATGCTACAGGAGCTGAAAAGCAGGGACCCCCTTCAAGAAAAGAGAACCCCCCAAAAAAAACCCTATTTACTTGCAAAGAGAAGCATGCACACACACCACATTCAGAAAGTGCACAAACCAAGACTGCCTAGGTCGCACTATGTTGGCTGGGCGGTATTATGTGGCCTGGGTGCTCCTATGCAGGTGGGTGGTCCCATGTGGACTGTGTGGTCTGGCTGCGGGGTACTTTGGGGTGGGTACTATGCAGGGTGAGTCATACTATGTGGATTGTGAGCTGGTATTATGTGGGTTAGCTGATGCGTTATGGGCTGGAGTGCTTGACCAACCCCTGAGCCCCACTGTTCGGGCAAAAATGGGACAATAATACAATATGCCAAAAGCGGATCACAAAGGCTATATCTCGAATAGCGATAAAATCACCACTCCAGGATCCATACAGGCTGCTATTGGTTGGGTATTGCAAAAAACTAGACATTCAGTGCTGCACGGAGACTTAAGCCAGCTGAAGGAAACAGCCGCGGTTATGGGACATTTCTGGTCCAAACTTTGGGATCCCTAGAGGACACCCCGGCAATTAAAAAATCACCAGTACTTCTGCGGCATTTCTCTTCAACACTGGGAATGCCCTGCACGCAAAAAAAAAAAAAAAAACCGGCACGGCCCCTCCTTTTGCCTGACACTGCCAGCCATTTTGCTTCGAAGGCCGAACCCCAACAGTTGTGGCACCGCATATCGACAACGGCCAGCGGCCGATATAGGGGCAAAGTACTGGTGTTTTAAACCACCACTGCCCCTAAACCGCAAGTCTGTGAGACCTGCAAGGAATATGAGTGTGAACGATATACAGAAAACCAATGTTGCGAAATCACACAGATGTCGAGGTAGTCGCATCCAAGCAGAGAGTACACAATGCACCGAGAAACCATCCATATAGAACAATACAACGAAGTAATCAAACCCGTAGGTCACACCAACACAGAATCCAAAGTTGCTCCTCTCTGTCTGGCGCCCAGCGCCCAACCTACTCTGCCCACCTATCCTACCTACAGCTGGTTCACGCAACAGGCTCACTTCGACTCTCGAAGACCAATGTACATGACTCTCAACTATAGCCAACCTCTCTTCATGCACCAGGTACATATCTCGTCACCCTCAATCAGACCTTGATAACCCCACTCTGCGCCTCCTTCCCTGAAGACCACCAGATCACCCACTATACCCCCTGGGGCCCAGCACCCCGGCTATGGCCGCCTGCGCCCCGCTGCCCGGCAGCGCACCTCCTTCACCACCTCGCGCCCCGTCAGCGCCTTTGGCAGCAGCGCAGCATCAAGCGAGAGCGCAGCAGCACTTCCGCATTGCCAGCACTGGCCAGAATGCCTGGCCTGGGCTGCCTTCCTCCTTTTGTGGAAGTGGCAGCCTCCTGGATACTGCGTGTGGCCTGGCTGGAGGCTTCCAGTAGCTTCCGGTTGGGCCTCAGACCCTGCGCCCAGGCCCGAGACTACAGTTGAGGGCCTGGCCCTTTNTGTTTGCTGCATCTGTGCAGGGCTCCCAGGCAGGTGCGTCGGCAGTACTGCTTTTGCCAAGGCCGACGGCCTGCTTCCCAATGTATCGGCCCTGCTTTGTGTGTATGTGCCCAGACGCAACTGTCAAGGCCTGGGCAAACTGTATGACGCAGCTTTGTGAGGCTCACGCGTCTACCCAACCAACTGGCGTGCTGCGAGAGCCTGAATACCCACACATGGAAATGTCGAATTTTGCCTCTGACAATTATTCAGGCCCGCCTTCACTTAGGGCGGGCACTTGGCTTGCTGGGGGCCTTAGCCCAGATACTGTGATGTCTGATAGGGCCCTTTGAGGGCTCGTTAATCACATTCCAACCCCCTTAGCTTCGAAAGTCCGCTGAGATGCTTCATGCTGGTGCCTTCCCCTTTAGCTCCTCATAATCTGCCACGATTTGAGGAGCTGTCTTGATAAGTTCCTCTCTTGAAATCCATCGATCTTCCTTCGGATCAGTATGATGCCTGAAATGTACTCTGCACTCCCTTGCAGGTTTAGGATGTCTTCCCCTGCCAGGTGGCTTGGGAAAAGGCGTGTCTCTGTGATCCAGAATGTCGTCGACGTCCACGTGGCCATCCATGGTTGGGGGCAGCATAGACCTTCGTGATGGGAACTGTGCTCTCTCAGGGAAAGGTGCAAGCTTGGAGGCGTGAAAAACAGGGTAAGTGCGTAGGTGACCAGGGATAGGAATGACGTACAAGTGACCATCCAAATCATTCCCCACAATGTCTAAGACTTCCCAGGGACCGAAATACTGAGGCATTAGTTTCCTAGAGATGCCAAACTCCTGTCCCAACTCACTAGCCTTGACCCAGACACGTTCCCCTACCTGAAATGTGGACTGTCGGGGACATTTGTTCTCAGAAGCAATCATAGCTTCCTAAGATTTCTTGATATGTTCAACAGTCTGGTGCAACAATTTCTGATACTGGACAACAAATTCAATGGTCCCAGGAGTTGCAGCAGGTCGGTTTTCGGGCAGGAGGAAAGTCTAGAGCAGATCTAGGCTTCCATCCCAGATGCAGCTGATTGGGACTGACGCCGGTGGTGCTGTGTACAGCGTTGTTGTACAGGCTGGCGATGAGAGGTAATTTCTCATCCCAGTCATCCTGGCTGGGCTTGATGTAATGCCTCAGCAGATGCTGCACCACTCGGTTCATCTGTTCAGCCTGCCCATTTGCTTCGGGATGATTCCCAAAAGTCATCCGAAGCTGGCTGCCCATCTGTTCAGCGGCCTTCTTCCACATCTCACTTGTGAAACGCACATCTCTGTCACTAACGATTGTCTTTGAAAGTCCGAAGTCACGCACCCAGTTATCCATGAACTTAATGACGTGCTCAGTCTTGGCAGTCTCCGGCATGGCAATTCGTTTAGCATACTTAGTGAACCTATCCACTATGACGAAGATATGCCTCTTGCCGTTCTTGCTGGTCACGAGAGTATCCATGAAGTCCATGGAGATACTCTTTCCCGGGCCAGCAGGAATGGGTAGAGGCTTGAGTAACCCAAACGGAGCTTGAGTCCATGGCTTGTCCGGCTGACAGACCTGACAAGTCCTGTACGTACTTCTTTGCATCGTCTAGCATGTTAGGCCACCAAAATCGTTGTACTAAGTTAGCACTTGTCTTCTTATAGCCCAAATGTCCCGTTGCGTCGTGGCATTCTCCTAAAAATAAACTACGCAAATCTTCCCTAGATGGAACAACTAATCTTTTAAACCCTGCCTTCTCAAGAAAGAGCAACCCATCCACCATCACAAACTCGTCAATGGCGGCCTTGTCTTTGGCCTGCAGTTTGTTGATGACGTCCATCGTGATGGGATCTTCCTTGTAGGCTTCCCCCAAAGATCGAGTCAAGTCGTCAGATAAGCCAAACTCAGAAATCAGCGCACCTAGGTAGTCTGCCCTCCTAGACAACGCATCCACAACCTTGTTGTACTCTCCCTTCACATAGTCTAGTTTGAAGTCATACTGATCTATGACTTCAATCCAGCGTTTGAGTGCATTGGAGAGAACAGGTTGGGTCTTGATCCACTTGAGGGTCTGATGGTCAGTTCTCAAATAGAAGAACCTCCCTAATAGATAGTGCCTCCAGTGAACAAGTGCCTTGTAGAGAGCATAGAGTTCTCTTTTGTAGGTGGACTTTGCCAACTTCTTTGATGGCATCTTTTTGCTCATGTACTCGACCGGTCTCAACTTTTTCCCTTCCTGCTGAGCCAACACTACGCCAATGCCGTATTGGCTTGCGTCAGTGCTTACAACAAATGGCCTTTGCGGGTCGAGTACCATGAGAACTTCATGGTGCGTGAGAGCATGCTTCAAACGCTTGAAAGCTGCCTCACACTCATCCGTCTCGTCCCATGGTGTGTCTAGTCGAGTTAGATCAGTCAAGGGAGATGTGATCGTACTATAGTTTTTTACAAAGTTGCGGTAATAACCACATATTCCCAAGAATGATCTGACCTCAGTCACAAACTGGGGTCGTGGCCAGTCACGTATGCTAGCCACCTTTGCATCTTCCGGCCTAATACCATCAGTGGATACTTCATGACCCAAACTCGCATTTCTCTGCATTTATCTTATACTTGTGCTGCCGAAGGAGTGATAGTACTTTGTCTACATGTTGAGCATGCTCCTCGACAGTTCTAATAAAATAACTATGTCATCGAGGTACACGACAACAAACTTATCCTAGTAGCCATAAAAGATCCTATTCATGGCGTGCTGAAATGTACCCGACGCATTGCAAGCGCCAAAGGGCATCACCACAAACTCGTACAGACCGCACCTGGTCTGAAATGCGGTTTTGTGTTGGTCCTCTCGTCTTATGGCAATCTTATGGTAGCCGGATTTTGAATCTATCTTTGTATAGTACGTACACCCCTGCACCCTATCCAATAGGTCGTCGATGGGTGGTAGAGGCTCTGCGTTCTTAACGCTGATGGCATTGAGGCCTCTATAATCAATGCACATCCTTAGTGTTCCCCCTTTCTTTGGAACAAACAGGACTGGTGAACCAAAGGGGGAAGTGTTGGGCCGTATCCAACCCTTTTCTGTGAGCTTTGTCAGTTGTCAACGACGCTCGTCCAACTCAACCGGAGCCATCTTATTGATTCTCCCTTTAGGTGTCTTGCTACCTAGGATGATATCTATGGCATGGACAACCTCCCTATCTACAACTCCTGAGGGCTCCTCGAACAGATCGGGGTACCTAGCGACGATGGTCTCTATCTCTGGGATGTTTTAACGGCCTCCCCTTTCTTAGAGACATAGACTAAGTACATTCCTTCCTCTTGGTTTTGTTTACAATAGTTATAGAAGGCTAATGCGCATAAGCACCCATAGGAGTCTATTAATCGACTGGCTTTATACTTGGCCAGTCTAACGGTCCTGCCATTAGGCAACTCATGCTTCAACACCTTCCTCTCCCAGTGAAACTGGGGCTTGGCAACCTTGAGGTAGTACATGCCCAATAACATGTCAAAGGGCAAATCGTCGCTCACCAGGAATGATATCTTATGGCTTATCTCTCCTCCAGGGTAGGAGAAAATGCAGACTACGTCCCTAATGTAGTCCTCCACAGTTATGCGCTCCTTGTTGGCCAAAGTAGATGCTGCCGGTCTACTAAGGCACTGCACCCGGTCCTGTAGCAGTCTATCAACGCAGTCGCGACTTATCAAGTTTCGTGTGGAGCCAATGTCTACGAAGGCGCCGCACTTGCGACCACCCACACCAACTTCCACAACGAAGTGCTCCCCTCTAGGACCTTTACTCAGTACCACCCAGGACTCACAAGGGTCCCTTGCCGACCACTCACCTTGAAGGTCCTCTAAGGCTTCAGACACATCCAACGTACACAGTATAGTTGCGTCCGGATGCGTCTGCAAGGTGACTTAGGAGTCAATGGCTTCGGCCAACTCTTGAAACGGGGAGGGTAGATCACCCGCTTCAACGAGAGTAGAAGCAGCTACAACTTCTGCTGGCCCTAAGTGTTTCCCGAGCTGGAGCTCGTAGAGGCCCCAGACTAAGGAGAAGGGAACCCATCCTTAGGAGGGATCTTTTGCAAGACCTTCGGGTTCTTGCACTTAAACTGCATATGGTCGTACTCGCCACACTTTATGCAAGTACCACGCGACCAACCGTCCCGCCACACTTCTTGATCCAAACCAGACCTTACCCAAGCTGCTATTTTGTTTGGGTTGGTGGCTTGCCCCTGACTCCTCTGTTGACCGCCCTTGTCGCAGCCAACTGCCTTAGTCTTAACCGCAGCGGCGAGGTTGCTACCCTCAACAATCTCCTTGCCGTCTAACTCTGACCCCTCCACAAGCTCAGAAACGTCATCGATCTCAGTTTGATTCCCTTCGGAATCAACCATCATAAATTGACTACCCTTTCTCTTTCACTCTTGTGGAGCTTTCATCTTTCTTCCCTCCATAGAGGGGACTTGAGCACTACCCAGTGTGGCCTCTAAGTCTAGGGCCTTCTTGCTGAATGACTCAAATGTATGATACTCTCTACGAGCCTCACTGGCTATAAGTTCTTGATGTCTGTGGAAAGACATCTCAAGAATGTGGTCAACAAGAATTACTCCACTCCTGGGACGACAATCAGCCGATCTACGGTCGTGGTAAGCTCTCTCACCGACTTGTATTT